AAGTGAATAAAAACCCTTTGGGTTTCATATCAAGAGCATAAATAATAGGAGTCCTCGGTTTTCTTCACTCTAAACTCCTTGGTTAGGCCATTTAGATTATGCTCACATTTTGGGTCCCCGATTACAAAGGTATAAAGCTCGGGAAAATGTACAAAGGGGGATGACAAAGTTGACCCAGTATCAGAAACCCCCTATGGGGATGGGGCCCCCTAAATCGACTCTCAGAAGACTTTTAAATTGGGGGGTATGATTAGGTGTTAAAGGGAAGAAGGTTTTTAAAAAAGGGATGCATGATGAAGCCACGTTGGCGAAACTTTTCCTTAAAAAAGTATCCAAGAGGACATGTGTCTAATTATCAACAGTGGGTTTTTCCTAACCAATCATCTAAAAAGGGGATGAAAATAGTGGCTGAAAATATTACCCCTAGACAGGATCGCAGAAAATGGTTTAAGTTAAAAAAAATTCAGATTCGGGAAAGGATAAGAAAAGATGGTTTGGTAATAGAGTTGTGGATAGGGGAAAAACCCCAAGTACAGAAGGGGCCCAGAACGTTGTGTAGTTTTAAAAAAATAGGTTGGATAATACATGATGGATTGGGGGGTGTGGTTGGACCTGATAGCTTGTGCTCCCATCTTGCCGTGTTCCCCCTTGTCAATGTGCCCTACTTGACTTTTTGGGGCTTTTGGCTTAAGGGGGTGGGAAATTTGGCCTCCCTCGCAGGGGCCATAGGCCTACTGAAAGTTCCTTCGTTCTTATGTTCTTAAATCACCTAAAAATATTTTTCCCCTTTGGGAATAGCTATTTGAATACTCCCCCTTTTCGGGTTGCAGACAACACACCCCCTTCCCGAACAATGATCCAGGGGGACACTGATTATCTCAAACCATCATCTGTTTTCTCTAACTGGACCAAGAAGCCACGGGCTCGCGAAATTTTTCAAAAGATTCCCAAGTGTTACAAAATCCCTTATTCATAAAATTTTATCTTTTTTCCTAAACCTTTATTCAAACTGAGGGCATGAATCTGCACTCTACAAAGACGTAAAATTAGGGGGGCATATTAGGTTTTAAAAAAAAAAAGGGAAAAAAGGGGAGAAAAAAAAGGGGCAAAAAATAATGACGACTGCAGCACTGGTTTAAAGGGGAAAAAAAAATAGGTTTAGAAAGATATGGGAAAAGCATTGTTGGTGATAGGGTAGTGGATGATGGAACAAATTGAGTAGCCTCATTAAACAAAAAAAAAAATTGAGCTTTAAAAAGGTCAGAAAAGTACAGAGTAGGTGTAGTTAAATCTGCCTAGCCGAGCTATAGGCCTGAAAGCGTGCTCCTTCCTTTTAATGGGGGTGATTGGATGGAAATAAAGGGTTAAAATACCGAACAAAGAAATAAAAACACATATGCAGTAAATGTGACCCTTAAAGTTTTAGACACTTATGCGATATGGGAATCTTATTCCCCCTATGTGCAAAAGTGTCTAAATCTTAAACTTGTGGGTTTTAAACCCCCTTAATCACCAATGTGACCCTTTTATTGACTCTTTCGCCCACCAGTGGGCTTTTTCAAGTCCAAACAGAACAAGTCCAAGCGTGACTTGACTTGCCTGAAAATGGGCCAGAGGTTCTTTAATATTTTGTAGTTGTACATTTTATATAAATAAAGTTTCTTGTTTTTAAATTTCTGCTGCCAGGAGGGGGGGGCCCCCAAGCGTTTCGCACTCCTCAACCATTTGGGTTAAGGGGTAAGACCATATGAACGTTTGGTATCTTTATTTGAAAGTTTTTGCCCCAAAAGTAGGCCTTCAGTCAAAAACAGAAAAGTTGATAGAAGCAAAATATTGAAGACGATGTAATCAGTCCCCAACCTTTAAAATTTTGAGGTGGTCATCCCTCAGTCTGGAGAAGGCATTGTTCCCTAGTATGAAACAATATTTTTTCATAGTATGGAACAATGCTCTTTCCAGACTGAGGATGACCCCCTCAAAACTTTTTAAAGGGGGTTGGACTGTTACATCGTTTCAAGATCTTCGCTTTTATCAACTTTTCGTACTTGATGGGAAGCTACTGGTAGCGAAACGTTTTTAATAAGATACAATGTTGATATGTGTCTTCCAACCAAACCTGCGGGGGTTTTTTTTATGCTTTTTCTGTTTTCCCTCTGGGTTTTGCTATGAAAAAGTTTTTTTCTAATATTGCTTATGTTATTAGAAAAATTCAATGAGTTTTTTTAAAAATAATAAAAACGGGGGAAATTCAGTTCAAAAAAAATAATTAATTAGTCCCCCGTAAATTGTTGAGGTCCAATAGACCGAAAAGTTGCTGTTCTTCCCAAATTACAGTGTAGTAAGCGACCCTATTAAAGTTACGGCGTATGCGACCCCTATCACAGTTAAGTGTAGGGGAAGCGACCCATCATCACGTTTAAATGTAGTAAGCGCCCAAAATCACAGTTGGGTTGTGTGTACCACAAAAACGTTACAGTGTTAAGCGACCATCATCACGTTCAGTGTAATAAGCGACCACTTTTCACAGTTCAGTGTAGTAAGCGAACTATCCAGTTTCAGTGTGTAAGCGACCACTATCACATTACAGTGTAGTAAGGAAAAACCCCTATACATTACAGGGTTTTAGTAAGCGCCATTATCACAGTTACAGTGTAGTAAGGAATTTCACAGTTACAGTTTGTAAGAACCACTATCCCGTTTTCAGTGTAGTAAGCGCCACTACACGTTACAGTTTTAGTAAGCGACCCCTATCAAAATTACAGTCCGTATGCTATGATTCAATGGTTTTTGGGTGCTGCATTTAAATGTATTTTTTGTACTTCTCTGTATAGTTCAAAATTATAATAAATAAAAAACAGTGTTTGAAAACGACATTATCACAGTTACAGTTGTAAGCACCCCCCCTATCGGTTTTCAGGTAGTAAGCGACCCCTATCAAAGTTACAGTGTATAAGCACCCTTTTTTCCCGTTACAGTGTAGTAAGCGACCACTATCACGGGGGAAACAGTTTAGTAAGCACCACAATCACAGTTACAGGGTGGTAAGCTACCACTATCACAGTTACATGTATAAGCGACCACTATCACAGTTACATGTAGAAAAGGGGACCACAAACATATTTTAACAGTGTAGTAAGCAAACCATTTTTAAACATTTTACAGTGGTAACAAAACCACATCAATTTAACAGTGTATAAGCGCCCTTTACCAGTTACGTGTATAAGCGCCCATTTTCATAGTTACTTTGTATAAGCGACCCCAAGGGAAAAAAAAGTAAAGGA